ATAATATAATATAATAATTTATACCTTCTTTTTTCCCCCCTTTATTAATCTTATTTTTTAATTACCTTACAATTAGTTAACCTTTATCTTAATAACATTACATTCATCATGTTATTTTTTAACTTTTAGAATATAATAATAGGCTTGATAAGTCCCCCAAAAATTTTTTTTAATGATAGCTCTATATGCATCTAATATTGACCCATCTACCGGTTTTACATTATTTTAATGTTTGTTTATTTTCAACAATAGTTATTTATATTTTTGCCTGATTTTTTTATTTGTCTACTCTACCCCTAATCCCTCACATTGATACAAAACATGATGAATCTATTATTAAATATAAGCAAAGAAAATAATGACGATTAAACAAACGCCTTACCCGTTCTAGAGTTACTGGTAGACAAAATAATAAAGAACTACGCTTGAAATGAACTCATCTGGAAGTTTATTTTGTTTTTTTTATCTTATGTTTTATATCTATGTTTATTTTATTTTCACCCAGTTCTACAAATGATATTTCTATCACCACTGCCACAATCCCTATGCCACCTCCGCCTATTTTTTAACAAATATAAACATTTAATTCTGTACTATCCTTCACTAGGAGTTAATATAAATATTACTTTATCCGATTCTCTGAGAAACTTTCATGAATATTTAGAGGAATTTTCAAACTTGAATGTACAGTACGGCCAATTTAATCAACTTTATTAATAGAAAAATATGCAGTATTTCTGTCGTGGCCTTTATAACAATACTTACGACCGTTTTATGGTTTAGTTAACATTGTCGTTCATGATTCTATTTTAGAGGGGGGTACCAATGCTGACATTGGCAGAAATATCGTTTTGCGTTCATAGGCATATCATCTTTATCAGGAAGTATTGTGTTTTGTACACTGCTTTGGTAATCCGTTATTACTTTCATCTACAACCCTAAATGATATAAAATTATACATTAATTATTTCCTCTCCAGACGACCGCCCAGATTTATTTTGTCACTTTTCCCATCAAAAATTAAAATGTCAAATTTGCTCTTAATTTTATCGAATACATAATAAATATTCCACATTATTTTTTAAAAAAATAATCCTAAATTTATATGTCAATAAAAAAAAATATCTTAAAAAATATATAAATAATTTGCATATATCATTAGTATTTAATGGCATTTTTGTAATTTAAATATACAGCATTTTTTTTACTTTACATAAAAAAATATATATCCCTTATCAAATTCTTTGACAAATAATTTCAGAATTACAAGACATATATTAAATTTATATGAAAAACAACAATAACCTTATATAATAAACAACATATTTTTTAGATATAATTTTAATTGATCAAATTACAAAAAAGTATAAGAGTCGGTTATTTTTATTTTATTTGTCATGATTCTCTAATAAGTGGTTGCCCAGGCCTTCCCAGTTTCCCTTAATACCGAATTTACATGTTTTTTTTTCCATATTCGACTAATTGGTAAATCAAGATATTTCCCGTTCATGTGATGATATTAAAAATTTAACTATCTCCGAGGAGGGAAAAAATTTTCAAAATTATGGGTAGGACTGGGCTTGGAACCTCAAAATTAATATTAGCTTGCACCTGACTTGGGAATATCTTTTACAAATTATTAAGGGTTGAGCTGGGCTTGATAAACTTTTTTATAATTATAAGATTTTGGATGCTTCCTAATATTGTGAGCTTGGACCTGGCATGACATCTATCGTAAAAAAATAAAAAAAATCTCACTCCCTGTCATTTTTGACGGGCTTTCTACTAGTTAATAATTATATTACATTTCACTTTTGTCTTAAGACTTATCTTTGGCTTATATTCCATTTCTTAAAATACATTTTTGGTTCACTTTTTTTATATATATAAATGCTTTTTTCCAAAAATGTATAAATTTTGATGAATAGTTTTAGTTTATCAACTTTTTCATTCTTTCTTTCAAATTATTGTTTAAGATATATGCATACATTTTGGGGGGTTAGGGAATGGGGGGAGGACTAAGGGGGATATTTTTTATTAGCTTAAAAATGTAAAATAAATATATATACTTTAAAAATATTTATTTTAAATTAATAATTAAGATAAATAGGGGTAGTGAAAGGGAAAGAATTTATAATTTCATCATTATTTAATTGTTTAAGTAAATTTTTTAAATAAAATGGTTAATATTTAGAAATAAATCTTTCATGGTGCTACGAAGTCTTGTTTTAATTAATTTAATTTTACACATGAGTCTTTCGGCAGTACATGAGGTAGTAGAAATGGTTAATAAATATTAATATAAAATTGTTAAATTAGGGAAAGCAGAAAAATTTTAAAGTAGACGATAAGGTAAAATAAACGAACTGAATCATAAGTCTCAGAATTATCATCATCAGAAGAAGAAGCTAAATAATGTATTAGTATAAATATTATAATTAAATTACAATTCTCAGAATCTGACAAATCTTAAGAATCTCTAACCTCTAGATCACGAGTAATTATTACATCCCCTGTTTTAGCCACTTCTAAACTTGAACATTTCTTCAAAAATTTGACTTGAATTTAAATGATAAAATTCACATATATTCTCGATATCTTCTTTAACAATTGACTTTTCCGCCAATCCCTTTGATGCAAAAAATGATGTTTGATTTAAAAATTTCATTGATTTGTCATTAAATCTTTCATTAAACTGCATAATAATCAAACCAAGTGACACACTGGTTATAAAGCTAAAATATATAATGATGAAAGTATATACCTCACATTTTTGGATTGTAATGTTTGAAGTCTAGAACTTTAAAAATCAAATGGTAGATTTCTCTACTTTATAAAATCTTGTGCTTTTGAAAAAACATCCAAAAGTGTTATTATCTATTAGGATTGAAAAATAATAAAAGATAATAATTTAAATTATCTCAAATTAATCAGGCAATCTTTTGCCAATTGAATTTGATTTATTGCAACCCCTATATCCTTCGAAATGGTTTGCAATTTTGTACAAGCCAAGCCTGTTATCATCATAATTTTATCCAACACACAAAATGATAAAATAAAATAAATTTTTCTATTCTAAAGACTATAGCACTAGCCATAGTGGGTGACAGGATCTTCAGAATCTTTTAAATTTGTCAAAGCTGCTCTCAAGGCATCATAAAGTAGAAAAAAAATTACAATTGCTTTGTATGATGATAGCCAGCTTCTATAAATATAAAATAAACATTTTAAATCTAAACAAATAAGATAATATTATCGAGTGGTATTTTTAATGTGTAGAAATATTTGCGATTATGTCAGTACATTATTCTGACTGAGCACCTCATATCTTTTAACACCATTAAAATGTACACAAATCTCGTTTATTATTCCTAAAACATTTCGCAATTCTTTTATTGCTTGACGATCAATAATTAAATTTAATTGATTACAATAGTACCAAATAAAAGCTGCCTTTGGCCCCTCCGCTCTAATCAAAGCCTGCACTCCATTAATTCTTCCACTCATGTTTGAAGCGCCATCATAGCTTTGCCTAACTAGGAATTCGAGGGGTAGATACATGGAGCAAGTTTATATTCTTTCTAATATCGAGACCAGTTGTATTTCCTGTACAATATATTTCTATCAATCTTTCTTTCGACGGATTTAGGCGTCTGACTATTTTCAGCATATCTTCCTAACAAAGCTACTCCTTCTGATTTCGAAACATCATATGTGATCAACTATGATTGAAAAGCAAATGTTAAATTCAATCTCCTTTTGAATTTTTTTTATAATCATATTTTTCATGGTTTCAATGAGAATATTCATTTTATTATATGATAAAAGATTTAAATATAGTTTCGATTTTAAACCCTTTATTTTTTCCCCTTCTTCTTTCTTTTGTTGTAAATACAATTTGAGAACAGGTTCAGAATCTGCAATGAGTTTAATAAGGCTCATCATATTGCCCTTGTTGCCCGTTCCCCCAGAAGGCTTGGTTACAAGATATTAAATAAGCTAGACATTATTAATATTATTATGATAGAACGGTTATTGTCCACGCTATCTTTCTGGGGTATTATAAATTGTAATATGGATTTTTTATTGTGAAAAAGCTTTCCATAATCGGCCATCATATGTGCCTGTGGAGATTCATACAAAATAATATCATGATTAATGTTTTGCCATTTATTTAGACCTTCACTTCACATGTCCATTTTGAATTTGCGTGTGGACCTCCAAATAAGAGACATGTTATCAAAAAACTTTATTCATTTTAATAAATATATGTAATTAAATTTCTAGCAATTTTGCTATTGTCAATAGTAGTTTTCTCTTAAAAACTTTCGTTAAAGGATCTGTTTCCATTATTAATATCTTTGGTTAATAATGTATAAGTTGAAGAGCTCCTAATTCTAGATATTTATCGTCTCTAATATTACGCGATGAGCAATTTGTATTTTTTTTGGTCAATACTTTTGGGCATATTTTGAAATTGGAAAAATAATTTTGTAACAAGAAATCTCGGATAACAACCTAATTTACTAAACATCGACCAAAATTTCCTTCAATATATAATAAATTAAATATTACATTCATAAACTAGATGTAGCAAAACAATAAAAGAATTAAATATAATAAAAAATTTAATTTTTATTATTTAAAAAAAAGAAGTACCCCCACACAAATATTTAGAAGCAGTTGCTTCGGAACTCCCCCCTCTCAGTTGTATAGGCCACTGGCAAGGTGAGGAGGAACTGAGTTTTATTTTAACTATTTATGCTGAATAAGTATATTCTATTGATGTTAATAGAATGAATAAATAAAAATATTGTCAGTTGAAGGTATCTTAATAATTTATATAATTATAACTTTTGTCCATAGTACCTCATATTCTTTATTTCCTACTATAAGATTAAGAACTATAAGTATTGCTAAATTATTAATAGCTGTAAAGGATGGAAGTTGTAATAAAAGATTTGCATTACTATAATTATAAATTACGTGGCTTTATTATTTAAAATTGAACTCTTTGATGGCCTGGTTTGGGTCTAATCTAGCTTCTTTAAAATCTCAAATCACAAGTTTTACTAAAGAAGTTTTAATTGAAGGGTCACAAGATATTCAAGGCATAAATTTTATAAAATGAATATATTAATGTTATAATTTAGATAAGTTTATTAAGTTTTTATCTATTTAATAAAATTTAGATCCTAATGAAGAATTAAAGGTGGCAAATTTAATAGTAAAAGAATCTGAAGTGATATGTAATACACTAAAGTTAGAGGTAATTATATAATAATAATTTATCACATATGCTGGTTTTTTAAATTAAATTAATTATTTTAATTAAATTAATAACCTTTAAGAAATGCATTAATTTTAAATTAAACCCCACATATAATATGAATACAATAATAGTTTTACATTTATTTTTAAATAATTAAATATTGCACATTTTCAATTAAATATACATTTTGAAATTTATAATCTTTATATTGAGGGATATTTATATTCATAAGTTTTGATTTTTTAAAGAGAATATGCTTAATAATTTTTTATTTATTAACTATTATAACACATGTATTATAAATATCAAATTTACATTCACTTATTTTTAAAAAGTCCTTCAATTTTTAATTTTTTTAAGGCAATTTTGTTTGCATCTACATTATGAATAAAGGCTTAGCCATAATCAGGTCTTTTATTTATTAAAACTATTTTAATATAGAAATTTTTTGTAAATTGTTTTTTTTTAAAGTGTTTTAGCCAATTTGTTTTAAAAGAAAGTTATGTAAATAACTGGCTCTGCATATTTATCTTATATTGAAATAATATAATTTTATAATATTAATTTTCTAAAATCTTTACCTTGAAAAAAATATATTGAATAAATTATTTTCAAAATTAAGAATAAAATATAAGGAAAAATTTAATATAATTATTTCATTTTAATGTTTATTTTATTTTTATATATGATATCAACAGTCCCATACATTATACTTGAGCATATATAGATTGTTAATACTAATTTTTTTTATAATCTCTTCATTAGTCAAATATTTAAACAGTTGATTTTATACAATATATATTAGAAAGATTAATAAATAATTACTAATTTAAACTTATTTTTATAAAAGTAGTCAATTTGATTAGTGTCCTGGTTATATCTTTTTTTTTGGACTGCATTTTATTAAAATTTTGAAAGTATAAGATCAGCTTTGATACCCTTTATTACATGTAATATTAAATATCACATGATATGATTTTTAAATTATTAATAAAAATAAAAAATTAGAATTCAAATTTGAAAGTTAAAAATTGATCTGATATCAGGTTGGTAATATTTTTTGGTGCTTTAGTGGATGTTTCAGATATAACATTGATCTTATATCAGGTTGGTAATATTTTTGGTGCTTTGGTGGATGTTTCAGAAATAACAAAAGACCCAATGTGTAGCACAGAGAATGTATCTTTGTCTTATGAATTTATCCTTTTTGGATACTCTGGTTATTTGGTATGATGTTTTGGCACATGTAAATCTTATAAGCAAGATGATCAACAGTATCTACTTAGTTATAGAAAAGATACATCGATTATAGAATAATAATCTTAAGGATTGCTTAAAGGCTGCAAAAGAGCTTGCTGATGAGTTGAGCAAAAAATGCTTCCCAACAATAATTTCATTATGATGGCAAGAAACTAGAGTAGTTGCCCCATGAAGGGGAGGATGAATTTATAATGATCCAGAGGGAAAATATCATAATTAATATATTATTCACACATGCCATAAATACTCCTAATAACATTTTAAACATTATCATTAGTAATAGGCTTCTGGAAATCTTTCCTAATATTTCGATCCTAATAATTTTATTAATAATCTCAATCATAGTTGCTTAGGATGAGCTCCTTTCCCTATCCCTAATTTCTTAGAAAACTATTTTGCTACTTCTTATGTAAAGATATTATATAGCATTTTTTGCAAACAAGAACAAAAGTAGAATAGTTGTAAATAATAAATGTATTTTGCAATTACGAAGATCTTAAAATAACCATTTATATGATAACTCAAATACTTTTTTATACTTTTAAAATTTAGATAAAATATTGGGCGAAAATTTATAGATAGGTAGGGCAGCACCAATCTACAATTTTTTTACTGATACTATCCGATTTTTGCCGATATTTATTTTGGCAGCTATACCAGTCCAATGCTGATAATTATATTGCCTTTTTTCTCATTATTTTATATAATATAAGATAATGGAATAATAAAAATCTTGATATAATTTTTTTAAAAAAGCGATTAAATCAGAATATTCATTTATCCTGGCTCTTAAAAATTAAAAAAAACTCTCAAGGTTTTAAGAATCTAAAAATATATCTTATCTTTAAAGATAAATGTTTGTATTTATAAGATATTTAGTAAATAATGTTTTTATTTTATTAAGTTATAGTCCTTAATTAATAAATATACATATTGTTCCATATTTTTATGATTAGTATTTTCATTTTTAACCTAATATAAATAAGCGTTATGCTATCATACTATATATATAATATATTCTTATTAAATATTCTATATAACAAACTATGTATCTTTATTTGAATAAAAAGATAAATATCAATTAATAACACACTACAATCTAACCATCTCAGATTTTGTTAAAATTTGTTATATAAGTTATTAAAAGGTTTTTTTGACGAATCCAAAATATTAGCCTCTTAATTCTATTAGAACCCGAGATATAGGATCTCAAAGTGACTTTGCTTAACGATTTTTTAAAATTGGAATTACTTTAAAATTAGATCCGCTATATATAACTCAGAGACCTGCAGAGGTACCATTTGCACGGCCCGGCCCGGATTTAAAAATTTAAGGCCCGGCCCGGATATTTTTTAAAAAAATTTTTTACGGCCCGGCCCGCCGGATTTAAAAATTTCAGACCCGGCTCGGAATTTTTAAAAATGACCTGGTATATACAAAAATTCACCTATGAGGTATTTTACCATATTTTTCAGCGAGTATTATCGCTTATTATTTAAAAAATGCATGTAAAAAGCTAATATTTTGAGAATATTATATTGAATTTATAAAAATTATAAAACAGTTATTTATAAAAATGGATATTTTGAGCATACTATATTTTATATTGCATTTATAAAAATAAAACTAATATTCATAAAAATGGTAATAATATTTGTCATATACTATATTTTATATTACATTTAAAAAAAATAAAACTAATATTTAATTTATAAAAATGGAAAATATTTTGAGAATATAATATAATGTATTTAATTTACTATTTAATTTATAAAATAAAAATAAATCGCTATTTAAAAAAATGCATGTATAATAAATAGTATTTTGAAAATATAATCTAATTGCACAATATTAATATAATTTATTTTATAATATAAATTTTTAACAAAAGAAGATAATTGTATTATATAATATTGTAAAAAAAAATAATGAAAAATGTTGGATTAAAAACTTTCATGACTCAAGGTAAATATAATAAATGCAATAAATATTTGACAGTTTGCAAAGTAAAAAACCAGCATGATTGACGAAACCCTATACTCAAGAAAGATATTAAAAATTCACAAATTATCATGAAGAAAGAGAAGCATATCTACATTTTCAGATTGAAGATTACTTCTTCTTTCTTCAAGAATTCTCCCAGTAGTGGAAAAATTCCGCTCACAGCTTGCACTTAAAGCAGGAATTGCCAATTTTGCTAAAATTGGAAATTCGCTTTGATGAGCCGCCCACCACTAACAAATTATCCACCTTAAATGTTTTATCTATTATTTATGTAATGATAATATTCATCATCGGGTATTGACATATTACCAGAATTACCATCGCCCCATTTGTCATAAAACGATTCAGTTTGATTAACAACAGTCGTAATTTGACTGGTCGATGGTATTTCATTTACTTCCTGAGCCTCTTGTAATTTAATATAATATTTTATATAGTTTTCCGTCATTTTGCGATCTGTCCCTGACTACATACGTAATTGCTTGAATTTGGGACAGAGAAAAAGAGAAATAAAATGATACTTGTGTAAAACAAATTTTTCAATTAAAAAATGCTTTATATTAAGTAAAATCAATTACAAACTTTAAGAAGTGATAATCCTTTATTTGATTGTTTTGGTAAAATATATTCTAAAAATTTAGATATGAATTATAAAAAAATATATTAATAATACTTGAATATTGGGGCTTATTTAAGATATTCCTTTATTTGATTGTTGTAAAATATGTTGTAAAAATTTAGATATGAATTATAAAAAAATATATTAATACTTTGAATAAATTTGCAGGAAATTAATAATTAGATCGATCTGTGGGTTGTTAGGTAGTGTTAACCATCACCCAATATTAGATCGATCTGTGGGTTGTTAGGTAGTGTTAACCATCACCCAATATTATATTAATCATCATAACTATAATATAATATAATCTTATAACCGTTAACTCATAATGTAAAAATTTTTATAAAAAATATTAAGGCCCGGCCCGGGTTTAACAATCTTAAGCCCGGCTCGGCCCGGATATATTTAAAAAAAAATTTTTTAGGCCCGGCCCGGATATGTTTAAAAAAAATATTTTTAGGCCCGGCCCGGGTATATTTAAAAAATGCAGGTCTCTGATATAACTATTATAGCTCATTTTATAGCTCTAAATAAATCTTGCACGGGTAATTCCATACCAAATCGATAACTTTTCGGCTCAACCTTTTTAATTTCGATAAAATTTTGTATACTGAGAGAATATCATTAGAAAGCATCGAATCCAAAATTTTAGCCTCCTAGTACTCATAGTTCCTGAGATATGAATGGTCAAAAGTGCCAAAAATGACGTTTTTTCGAAAAATGCGATTTTTTAAAATTGAGATAAGTTAAAAAATAATGATTTTAAAAATATAAGTTATATGTCAATTTATAACTCTATTAAGGGCCTTTTATTGAATATTAAAAATTTTTTCAAAATAATATTGTTGCGGTTTTTATTTAAGTTATAAATTTTAAACATGAAAACTCCAAGTGTTTCGCTTTCCAAATTTTTTTGAATTTAATATTTTCTTATTCTCTAACCTTATATCTATTCATAAAAAAAATTTAAACTTGGGACAGCCATGGGTTTTTTAGTTATTGCGATTTAAAAAATCAAAAAATAAATATTATTTTCAAAAATAGATGGCGCTCCTTTATAAAATAACGCGTTTTGTTAAAACTATTATTTTTTTTAAACTTTTTTCCATTTTAA